CCTTCCAAGCCGCTGTCCTTATCGGCTCGCTGTTCCTCATCTTGGGCTACGGGCTGTTCTGGGCGGGCGGAATTGCGCACGTTTGGGAGGAAAACGCGAAATCCGGCCGAATAGAATTTTTCAATATGGATCCTAGTCCTACGGTGCGGCACAGCTTTTGGAGTGTTGCGATCGGTGGTACTTTTTACTGGGCCACCATGTTCTGCAGCAACCAGGCGTCCGTCCAAAAGTATCTCAGTGTCGAAAGCATCTCGCAAGTAAGGATGTAAGTTTCCGAGACATTAACGCGATAAGTCTGTAAATACGTTTAGTAAAATGTTAGTCGATTTTTAAATTATAATCTCACGAATAATATTTTATTCATCATTACTTATTTTATAGTGCGTGAATGAAATACAATGAATTTGAAAGATTTATATTTATATATTGTTAAAAACAAGTTACCGTTTATTAATTAATTATCGTTTTTTACAGAGCGTTGTGGGTGTCTTCGTTCGGCATGATTCTAATTTATAGTGTTAACTTTTTGACTGGAATGGTGCTGTACAGCGTTTACAAAGACTGCGATCCTTTGACAGCCGGATATATAGATGGCCAGGATCAAATACTTCCGCTGTACGTGATGAATTTCTTGGGAGGCCTTCGTGGAATGCCCGGATTCTTTGTAGCTGGGATCTTCGCCGCGTCTCTCGGGTTCGTAGAATGTTTAAAAAAAACAATACATAACATTCAATGAGTAATAAATTTACTTCTCGCCTAAGCTCATGAATTCATTGAATTGAATTTGGAAATATTTTGAATTGTATTTTCAGAACTGTGGCAAGTGCTCTGAACTCATTGGCGGCGATAACCTGCGAGGATATTCTTCGCGGGCTTTTCCAGATGGATTTGCCAGTGAGTAAAGGCGCCGTTTACGCCAGGTGGATCAGCATACTTTTTGGAACTCTCAGTTTCGCGCTGATCTTCGTCGTCGAGCGTCTCGGTAGTGTTTTACAGGTAGCTTATATATTTTGCTTACGATTTTTGCAAAGTCAAAGAATATATTCTTAATAAAATTTCATAATATCTTATAATATTTTTAATAATTTTGATCCTGCATGATCCAGTTTTTTATAAATTTTGATATCTTTTTCTTTCTTATCGCGCTGTAAGTTACATTGCGATCCCGAAAAGCATTTTAAAAAAAT